CTGTTTTTAAACAAAACAGACAAGTAAAAAAATGTTAGTTGGAGATGTAAAAAATATTTATGAAAGTGTTAACAATACAATTTATATTTAGATGGTCTAAAATTTCTTCCTCAACCTGCCACATAAGTGGATAAAACATGCAACTTCTAACCAGATAAATCCTTTCTTATTGTTTAAACACAGAACATATTATGGAAGAGTCAGTGAAGCTGATAACACTGTTTTGGTACTCCAAAGAGATGTAAAACTGTACCAAATCATATGCAGTTGTCCTGCAATTTGTTGTACTATAAAGATTAGCATGAATTAGTGAATCAAAAATAGTCAATCTATAAAAGCTTGTTTAAGATGTACTAATAAGGATGAAGTAAAATCATCCTACTGCAAAAAACATTAGTATTTTCACATTAGACCTCAATAATTAAATTACGTTAAGTGGTGTTTCCCTAACTTCTATAACTTGTACAGAAGTGTACCACGCTTAACTGAAGGGTAAAGCAGAACCTTCAAACTGGCTAAAGCAGAAGCTGTCAGTCAATTGTGACAGTATGCATTTCATAAGCACTGCCACTTTAGGAGTAATCCATATGCCAAACAGGCTTCCAGCTAAGCTTCCAATCTCTGATAAAAAAGTTTTATAATCCCCAAGTCACTAGATTTAGCAGATGATTAAAGTCACCTTTTCCATTATAAATCTAAGTTCAGTGCCTAAACGTTTATATTTAGTTACAGCTATAAGTTAATGAAAAAGCACAGATCAGTAACGCAGAGATCTGAGAATGAAAGCATTTCTCGCACCTTAAGATGAATATGCTTTTTGTGCATGTTAAAATTAAGCAGAGACAGTTTTTCAGGGGATAACCCACAGAACACCATTTGTCAGAGTCTTCCTTTGTACTGTCTGGCAACAAACAGCTAACATTGATTACTATTGTTAAGCACTTCAAAGTTTTTATATACAACCGGGGAATCCTCCAAGAAGAGAAACAATTCTTAGAACAAATCTCCAATTCCCACTCCCACTCCTTCCTTACCCAGTGCAATAAAAACAAGTACTGAATATTTTAGCTTTATAAAATAAAAACCGCCAAACCTTTCAACACATCTGAGAGCAGCACAACTTTACTTCTTACGAAATAAGAAGGATCTCCTACATGCTGCTGTCACAGTACAAGTTTCATGATCGAGAAAACAGAAATTCTTACCTATATTTTTCCCCAGTTAATATTCTTCTGTTAACTGCACTTATCAAAATTGAAAAGAGTGAAGTGAAAGCTAGATGTGAAGTCTAGTTAATTCAAAAAGTTAACGTAAACACAGTTGTTACGTTCCAAGTTAGAGTTTTCCCTTAAAATGACAGCTTCTTTTTTATGATTTGAAAGAGCATCCAAGATCTCCAAAAGATCTAATTTTATGAACTTTCAATGCTGCTGAAACTAAAATTGGACAGAATTACTCTAACAGACTGTTTTCTGATGGAGAATGCCAATTCACAGAATTTGAAACATTTTGCAGACAGTTCAATTTTGACAAAGCTGCGATCGAACACAGGTAGAGTTCCAATGGAAGCATCTTGCCAGCCAGCCTGACAGACTGACCAGAAGCTGAAAATCTGGAAGCCCCGGGAGTCCCAGCTCCTAAGCTCCCCCACAGCTCACCAGGCAGGCTGCCCTCAAATCCCAGCTCCCAGAATCCCATTTCCTACACACCTTACCAGGTGGTATGATGGGGAGCTGGAAGCCTTGCAAGTAGTGGCTTCTAAGCTCTGAGGTTCCAGCTCTTCGGCAGCCCCGAGGTTCCAGGAGTCAGCAGCTCCACAGCTGTCTGCCAGATGGAGTTCCCCAGAGCCAGTACTCCATTCCCTTTCAGAAACAATTTGCAAATGTTGGCGGGCAGGGAGGGTGTTCCAAATAACAAAACTATGTTTCAAATATCAAAATCCTCCACGAAACAGAATTATTTTTCCTCTTCTCAGATCAAGTTAAAGAGATGGCCAACAATGTACGCTGAATTAAAGGCAATGTGTGCTTTTCGTGGGCAGCATGTCATGTTTAATTCCTTAGACACGTACTGACATGGTAACTTTAGTATTCCACATGGTTAAATTTGTCTATGTAATACTGGGTAAAACGCATGAATTCAACTAGCTAAGTTACCATCTCCATCCATCCTCTGGTCATAATTCAAAAGAGAAAATTCAGTTACAACACATACATATTAGTATCTAATTCACAGAAATGGTCAAGTTGTCATCAGTAAATAGGATCAACAGGACATAGGGAAAGATTTGTTTTCACACTATTCCACATTCACTGGTTTCTGTCGTCAGGACAGTTTCTCTCTGGAAAGTTGCTTTTAAAAGCAAAAACAAAGTTGTAGAATTGTACAAGTTACTGAATTCTAGCACTATAAAGTAATCAAAATCTGAAAGCTTGTTTCCTTTAAAGTAAAATCCAGGCAACTGGGAGGGGGGGAAAAACAATCTTAGTAATCTATGCCTACCCTATTCACTCCTGTAAAAATCCACATGACAGGGTATCCCATGATTAACAGGCCACATAATTTATAAAAACCTCCAATACAGAACTTATCCAGAAATCTCAAGTTACTATTTTTAGTGTGGCTAGGTATGCCTAAGTGTTGACATATTTCGTTATTTTAAACTGAATCTGCAATCATTTTCCAGAATTGCTGCCATTAAAATGCTGATACATTTAAGTCTAATTGGTTCAGTCATCCAGGAAGTTACTTCGCCTTTCCTAAAATTTGCAAAACTCAAAATAAATTATTTGATGGGAATGTGATAGGAATGTGTAAGGAAGCATTTAAAGATGATACTAAGTGGTGTAAGTATCACATTTCTTTGTTTGTAGCACTAACTTTCAAAATTAAGACTCAGTGAACCTTTATTTACATTTGCAAAAACATTTAGAAGTAGGCTTGGTATACCACAATCTACATTCACAGCAAAAGCCATAAGTTAAAAATGGACACCAACTAAAAATAATCACTTCTGCCCAATTTTTAAAACTATTGTTACAATTTACACTATAATTGAAAGTTCAGAGGAAAAGTTATTTAATTTTTAAGTCTATTTGCTGGATGCATTAGACAGAGTGCTGTCAAATGCATTTCACTATGTAGTCAGTGTGCTCCCCTCTGTGTAGGTGTTTCCTCACAGGAAAGAGGAAGGGAAAACTCATCTTTAATATAATAAGTCAATTGTAAAATCAGAGAAATCACCAGGTGGACTGAACGGGTGATCCAAAAAAAGAAGCCATTAGAAATGTAGTTACCTTTTTAAGTTCATGATACCTCTAAATAAATTTAAATGCATGCACCTTTTCTTAAATGAGCATTCTAGAAATTAGTCAGGAAATAAATTTACTGGAACTTAAAGCCAATCTCCACAGCACTGGCTATTTGACAAATAGCAAAATACCAGAGATTTGTGATAATGTGTTTATTGTATTAAAATCCACTTACAAAATTCCTCCTTTAGGCATTAATTAGGTGAAACCAAGGACAGTAAAAGACAAGGTGGTTAGAAAAAAACGACTGGACCAAAATTCAACTCCAGTAACTTTCTAAGTGCATACTTAGAATTTTCACAATAGTGTTGATAGCTTAATGTAAACAAGGGCAGCAACTGTTCAGTTTAAGTAGTATTTATGCAAGACAAAACAACTAGTATCACAAACAAGAGATTATTAATTTTACACAAATTTGCATCTAAAGTCTGATCAAAATCAAAGTTTCTCAAAAATTGACTAAGTGTACATTCTTGTCAGCCAAGTTGCGAAAGCATGTAAAAGTCTATTCTTATTTAGATATAATTAAAGCACAGAACAGCTAAAAAGAGCTGTCATTTAGAATGCTGCTTTACCATCAGGCTTATCTGATAGGTTCAGACAGAAATAGTCATATATTGCAGTAAATGTAAGTTTTACTTCAAAACAATAACTAAAGAGCTTTATGTGAAGAGTTAAAATCCTAATAAAACACTGAGATGGACTCTAACAACGAGAGAGTTTATGAAAAAGGAACAGATGTCCCAATCCATGTATACTAAACCCGATCCCAAGAAACTGATCAGCTAAAGTATTCATCTGACAAAAGTTTAAGGACTTCTCAAATTATTAATGTGATATGGGCATGGGATTAAAGCCATCTACTAACAAGACAAAGGGATAAATATACCACTCCCCGTTTTTTGTTTTTAAACGTAGACAACAGTGCTGCCAAGCCTGCTACCTGCAGAATAGCTGTTTCTCTTCACCCTCTCAGATGATCGCCATAGAATAGAAGAAGAAAGCTTTCCATGGGAGGCGGGGCAGTGAAAAGAGAATGAAATCTCCATGTTTCCCCGCCACTAAAAAGCAATTACAAAATAAGGGGGAGGGGTGCTAAAGCGGAGAGTCCCTTCTGGAGAATATTCGGGGAAAGAACGAAATGAGAAAACAAACCAAACACCCAACACAACCCCTGCCCAGTGTCGCTCAGCAGGGGCAGCGCAGACTCCTTCCCCGGCGTGTCAAGGTAGTTTTTGGAAGGCAGCTCACTGTTCGGGAGAGCGTTTGGGGAAGATGAAGCGTGGTGTTAGCGCCTTCCCTTGACTACGTTTCCCAGGAGGGTTTGCACCATCTGCCCTCCTCAAGACACGCACAGCTCTGCTCTCCCGCCACCGCAAAGCAGCCACCCAAGGCGCTGCTGGCAACGTGACCAGAGAGGAGGCGCAGACGATGCTCGGCCAGGACCAGCGCTTGGGCATTTACCTGGCAGCAGGGCCGGGCAAGGGGCAGGCGGGGAAGGAGACGGGACACGCTCCTGCAGCACCAAGGAAAGCAGGATGGCTAGGCTAGCACCGACCTTTGTCACTAGGCTGGGCCCGCGGGAGGCGATTAGCACCGCACCCACCCCCTGCCCGGAGCGCTGCGCGTGGACGAGGGAGGGCAGCTAGGGTGGGGCGCAGTACCTGCGCGGAGGGGGAGGGGCGTTACCTGCAGCACCAGCGGCTCCGGGTTGAAGGCCAGTGTGATGAGCAGCTGCATGCGCTCCGAGTCCTTGAGGTTGCGGAGCAGGAAGCTGCCCGAGTCCTTGGTCTCGGCGTAGCGGCGGACCAGGCGGTCGAGCAGGCGCTGCGAGGGGCAGTGCACCAGGTCCGACCAGCCCTCCACCACGTCGGGGGTGAGCAGCCGCACGTCGCCGTTGATGCTGGCGAACTCGGTGGCGTGCAGGGCCTGCAGCAGGTCGCAGCGGCCCCTGCCGGTGGCGCGGCGGCAGATCTTGGTGTCGATGTCGGCGAGCTCCTGCGCCGAGCCCAGGCGCTTGAGCACAACGCGACGGCTGCCCTCGCGGGGCTCGCCGTAGCGCGCGAAGTAGACGTTCTTGACATTGAGAAAGTCGAGCAGGCGCAGGCGGCCCCAGCTCTCCAGCCGCAGCTGCCCGTTGAGGAACTTGCGGCACCAGCTGGTGCCCCAGCAGGCCGGGCACTTATTGAGCTGCAGGAAGCGCCGCTCCGACAGCTCGTTGCGCTGCAGCGAGGCCAGCAGCGAGTGCGTGTTCAGTACCAGCGCCGCCGCCAGGCTGCCCAGCACCGCCAGCTTCACGTAGCGGTACAGCCGCCCCAACTTCAGCGACACCAGCCGCAGCATCGTCCCGGACCGGGGCCCCCCTCCCCGCCGCTCCGCGCTCGCGCCGCAGCTCCAGCCCCAGCAAACTCTCCGCCGCGCGGCTCGCCCGATAAAAGGCAGCCAAGTTACTGAGGGGGACGGTAGGGGGGAGGGGGCGGCGCCGCGAGCCCGCCGGCCCGGACCGCCCCGCCCCGGGGAGGAGCCACGCCACCGCCGCACGCGCGCGCGCGCGTCGGGCGGAGCCTAAGCGCGCCCCCGAGAAGCCCCCTCCCTCCTACACTAGGGGTCGAGCCTCACGCGCACAGGCTCTGCCACGGTGGGGGAGCGCGCGCACACCTATCAGCGGAAAAGAGGCGGGGCCGTCGCGCGCGCGCGCGCGAGGGAGAGGGGGGTGTGGAGCAGGAGCAGGCGCGCGTTGAGGAAGAGCCGGGCAGGTCGGGAGGGGCGGGAGCGTCCGTCCCCCATTGCAAACAGATTCAGAAGCAGCAGCAGCCCCTGTGCCGAGCCGCTGGCTGAACCCGCTCGGGGCGGACGGGGCGCAGTGTGAGCCGCCATGTTGTGTTTACCCCCTGCCCGCCTGGCAGCAGGGCCCCGTGGGAAGGTGCCTGTCCCGGGCGCGGTTGCCCCTGGCACTGTGGCCCGAGGGAGCAAACAGCTCGTTGGACGTGCTGCTGCTGCCCGTCCGTCACCGGCGCAGAGCTGCCCGGCTGGGCTCGCATGTGCAAGCCAGTGCCTCGGGTCGGTGTGTGTCTTTGTCTCGCGCACGCGGGGTGCCTGGTTGTTGCAGCCCGCATCTATCCCAGTTAACCCGTGTCCAGGCACTCTTCTGGCTATTGCACATTAATGCCACGTTCTGCACAGGGCAAGTGTGCCTAGTGTATATTGCTAACCTCGCTAGCATAGCTCACACCTGGCGCTGTGTGGCTGATGTCATGCGCACACACACGGCCTGGCTGTTGCACACCAAATTCGTGCCCGACAGGAGTCAAGCCTGTCACTCAGTGCCTGGTGTGTCTCCTTGCGCACATAGATTGTCCCTGGCATTACATACTGGAGCCATGTCCACTGTAACTCGTATGTGCTAGTAAGCCCAAGTGTGTCTGTAACACTCCCAACAGCCTGGCTGCTGTGCGCTGAAGCCCAACAGAGCTCATGCTTCCCAGTAAGTGCCTGATCTGTCTCTCTTTCACTGGCATATGGACATGAAGCGCCTGGGTATTATGTACTGAAGTCATGTCCAGTGCAGCACAGCTCATACCCTAGCACAGGCTACAAGTCCCTGCCACAGTATACACAACTGCACAGATCACTTTATTGGGCTCTGCCCATGGAAAAGATTTCCTGATCTACTCCAAACTCCAGTCCGTACTGGGTGGGGAAGAGATGAGTTCCTTGGTGTCCTGACAATATCTCTGTTTCTTCATGTTTTACCCCTCACTTACACACAGTTTTATGCCCTGACATTCATTTAATACACCTTGCATTAAATCACCATACCTTAAATCTGGACCAAAGAGCCTACAACAAAAGTGGTCCACAAAGTAATCTATCCTTGGAATTGCCGCCTGAAATTCAAGCATATGGAGACTTTCTCACACCATCATCAGGACTGCCTTCAAAATCTCTGGACTGTCAGTTCATAGGTGCCACAGATGCCGTCCCAGTAAAGTATCACTATGAAAGTGGCATGGAATATAGGAGGAAAAGAGTCTAGGAAGCCCAAAGAAGACCATTCTTCCTCTCTACCTATCTCAGTTTTCTTAAGCGCTACGTTATTTTCCCACATTAGAAAACACTTATTTAATGTCCATTTCATCCCCTCAAATGTAAGATGGAGTGGTGGGGGAGTAACAGAGAAGAACCGCAAAGTGAACACTATCAGGCTTTCCCATTTCCAATTTTAAAGACCTGAGAACTCTAGTAAGCTATAAATATAATTGTATTATTTTTTCATTAGCATAAACTTTAAATTCTATTTTGACATTTATATATGTAACAACAGCTTCCAGAGCATACTGAAAAATTGTAACTTTGTAGAATGAAGAGAGTAAGCTTGCACTTCTTGATGCACTCCAGGAATGACCACTTTTCACTCCAACATGTTCTGTCAACGCCTACAGTTAAAGGTCAGAATCAGTCCAATCAACAGGCTTTAGGCTTTATTCTGTGAACCACTTTGTGGAAAATAATATATTTCATTATTTTAAAGTAACTAGATTATACACTGTAATTAGAGTTGATTTTAAACAAAATATTTGGAGTCATGTTGAAACCTGAGAAATAATGAATCTTACTACATTAACTTACTTCATTTGCTTGTGGCTACAGCCTGCAAGCTTTGGAGCCAAACAAATTCCTTCTTCAGGTGTTGGCAGTATCTTTTTGTCTAAAAATATGTATACTTTGTCTTATTTATTAAACCCCTAAAATGTCCAAATATATACATGTGTTTATTAAACTGTCAACATTTATTTTCTACATTTGTTGCTCTTATGAGTCTTCTTTTGCAATTTTCTTTGTCTGCACAATTGCAGGGAAACAGACTGATCCTTCTAGGCAATAAAATTAATATTATAATTTTTATTTGAAGAAAATATAATTTAAAAGAAACTTTTAAATAGCTGCAAAAAGAGCAGGAGTACTTGTGGCACCTTAGAGACTAACAAATTTATTAGAGCATAAGCTTCGTGGACTACAGCCCACTTCTTCAGATGCAAAGTGGGCTGTAGTCCACGAAAGCTTATGCTCTAATAA